AAAACCTACGGTAATTTTATTTGTCTATCGCAGTATCGCCTATCGGTTTATTTGGCAATTAAAATCTTATCGTGAATAGCATTATAGTTCGTGACCGAAAACGCAATATCATTTTACTTATCTTACTTTTTCACGCATAGAACGACATCATCCGCATGATAAAATATACGTCTGATTTTGGTTTTTTTTAATTATTGTATATTAATAAATAATAATAATAATATGGATTGTATATTAGTATTACGTACAGTAAAAATATGTAAAATATATTGTCGGGCAAATGTATTGTCGGGTAAATGTAGTTGTCGGGTAAAGGTAGTGTCGGGTAAAAGTATTGTCGGGCAAACATATCAGACCCATTATTATGCATAACTTATATTATTGTGATAATTAAATTAATTGTTATTTGTGTATTGATTTTGCATAAGCTAAACAATTTAATTTCTTAACATCACTTCATAATGTATGTAAAGTTTTGTAAAGCGTTTCAACTACCACGGAGAAATTTTCTTATAAATCTTCCGACATTGAAGTGATTTCAATAGTTTGGTGTTATAAACTTTTAGCCTTAGTGTTCAATGCCATTATTTCATGGGAATAATTTGATTACTTAGTTATTTTATTAATAAAAACTAATTCTTCATATCATACCTACATTTTTCCGTTTTAAATTGCGAGTATTAATATGTAATAATAATTATCATTAAATGTATTGTAATATTATATGGGTTAAAAAAAATGTATTTTATTCCAATATTTTGGTCACTATTGCTAAGTATGTATAGGTAATTGATGTTCGACAATATTTTAACTATTTGTGATGTATTCGTACGACTTTTCTAGATGTTACTCAGTTTGGCTAGAAGCATATTCGAAGAACAGAACAATCTTGATTGTCTAGTATCGAAGATCATGACCCAGGCCAGAGATCTGATCAAATGCGAACGTTGCGTCGTCTTCCTGCTGGACTTGGAATGCGAAGAAGCGGTATGATTTTTTTTTTTTGGCAACGTTATTTTTCAATTCATATGTGTGTGTGTGTGTGTGTGCAGTTGTATGTGTACAGTTTATTTCATTCCTTTATAGAGCCATTTGGAACACTTTGGAGCCAAGCCAGGGAATTATTCGCTGGAAAAAAAAGCGTCCACCAAAAACGTAATAAGACCACGAAAAAAAATATATATATAAATAAACACACAATAAGAGTAACCATACTCATTATTCACTTTGAAATTTGAATGCGATTTGATGTGTTTCACTTGTATTTTATAGAGCACCGACACGTTGGCCGAAGAGGTTGCCGTCACTCAAGAACAGCAAAAGGTTAGTAATATTATCGCCACACCGAACTATTATGATAAAAATAATTCAATATTAAGATCTATTATGTACGTACACAGTTGCTATTGGTGTTGTCTTATACAACACTGTCGATTGAAATAATATTGCCACCTCTTCCTATGCCTGTGCAAATTGTTTTAACGATCGATATTTTTCAGGACATCAATTTCACCACGGTTTTTGAATTGGGTTCGGAACTCGGTGTGAAGAAAATCAATAAGAACGTCAAGCCGTCCAAACTACTTCAGATAGCGCAAGAAGTGGCCAGCTCTACACAGGTAACGCGATTTATTCGGGTAGCACGACACGTCATAGATACCATAACCTAGGTAATGATTGCGTATTGTACCTAATCCCGAGCGCTTTGGCGCCCACAGTTATTGAACATAGCGGACGTGCAAGTGTGGGCCGCTTCGTTAAGCCGACAACCGAGCATGGAGAGCGACGACGGATGTACGGATCAAGTTCCCATCAAGTCCATTCTGTGCATGCCGATATTGAACGGCAAAAAGGACGTGATCGGAGTTGCACAGTTGATAAATAAGGTGTGTGTGCGCGCGCGCTTAGTTTGTACCGAAAATATTATAATATTCAATAAATCGTAATTTTCTAACTATTAACTATATAGGTGCAAGGAACAATATTGTCTCCGTCATTTATCTATTTTTACAACACGTCTTACATATTATTATACGAAATACCTAAGACCACTATACGATTTTAATAGAGATAATCAAACGAGATAAGTATTTATAATCTGATCAAGCGTGAGCTTTCATTAGAAATTACAATTTATACGAATACTATTTAATCAGTTGTAATATTTTAAAAATAAAAACAATAAAATGATAGAGTTAAAAAAAAATATTCGAATGGGATACATTAAATAATTATGTTTTCCTGCACTTTATAAATTTGACAGCAGTACAAAACCCAAAGTCAAGAATTTTAGAAATTTAATAACTTTAGACGAAACCTAAACACTGGCTTGCATTTTCTAAATTTGAAAATATAAAAATAACAGTAGCATTTTTGGTAGAATAGCATTCAGCGTATGATCTGCGCAATATATCTTAGATATACCTACCGAAGAACGATGGTTAGTGATATATCATTATTCTTATAGTTCAATATTTTCAGAATTGTTAACACAATAATATGGTGTAAATCACATGAACGGAGATTAACGATGACGTATGGAAACGATATAAATTCATTCGTTTTTTTTTTTTTTTGTAACGACAGCGTCTTAAGTGATATATTAAATGCCTGTATATAATAGTAATGATATCGTGTGGTTTGATTTCGTATGTACAGGAAACCGGATTTCCGTTTACCGACTGTGACGTGGCGACGTTCGAGGCTTTTGCCATATTCTGCGGTCTGGGCATTCACAACACTCAGATGTATGAAAGCGCATGTGAGTATCGTTGGCTTATTACCGTGGATCAGTGACGTATGTGAGGGAATTGGTGTTTGGTGGGGGTGGAATGACACCCCCTTATTAGCACGTTTTATATTTTAATTATTTTGTAACTAAGTRTACAAAAATATTTATGTGATACACGTTGTGACCTAACCATAATGATACCAATATTATATTAAATGATTAGTATTTCGGTGAAATCTCCCTCAAATAAAATCCTAGATACGCCACTTCCGTGACTTGATCGTTTCACTGTATTGTGTTCGTGTTTCAGGCAAACTAATGGCCAAACAAAAAGTGGCGCTCGAATGTTTGTCGTACCACGCGACCGCGTCCGTAGACGATACCATCAAATTAGCGCAAGACAAAATTCCTTCGGCCGAGACGTACAACTTATATAGGTACTTATCTGCCTATCTAGTCTGTTTATTTCTAACTAATTAAATCGATTGATTGGACAAAACCAACGGATAATAACATCCGTTACCTACTTACCCATATATATATATCAGTATTAAAACAACAGTTATTTACTCAAGTATTAATCACTATCAATATTAATGTTGAACATTTATCCTGAGCGGAGTGATGAATGTACAGAGTTTAAAATAATGTGTTCCTTTGCAGTGTCTCTGACACACCTCTTACAGGGACAGAAGAATGGTTAAATTGGAACAAAGGAACTTTGAGGGTGGACAAATTGGATCTAGTTGATACTTGGGAGGGTAAGGGTGTCAAAAGTTACGATTCCCTGTTGGAACTTTATTAMATCATCTGGAACAACAGACAAAAAAATACGGAAAATTAAGATTATCTGTTTTTGACATAATTGATTTCGTTATTTTGATATAATTCGAATTCTATAATAATCGTTAAAAGTCTACTTGACATTGTCATGAACTATTTAAGCAAAAGCATTTTCTAGACACTAGAAAATTAAAAAATATATTTTGAGTCTTTGGAATTATTCAGTTACTTATTATTTCTTATTATTTGACTTATATGTTACCTATGTGATATTTATTTGTGATTTAAAAAGTTTGTAAATATATTAAAAGATATCTCACTAACTTTTCCTATAATACTTAACAATTAAAAAATATCGAAAACACATGGGTACCTACTCATAATTGTTTTTATATGTGTATGCATTTCAAATTTAATATTCATAAATAATCAAAATCGAGATAATTCGTAAACTATACTTTGTAGTTTATTATACATCATATTAAAGCACATAAATGTGTCAATTTAAAACAGTCTTATGTTAATGTATATTTTAAATGTTAAAAATTCAAATTCAAAATATAAGCTAAATTAACTATCGTAAACATTATAATAAAATGTAAATAAATACATTTTATTATGAATAGGTACCATTATAATAATTATTATCTGAACAGTATATCAGTAATATCTGAACAGTGAATACCTAGATAGTATAGTTAAATATATGTATATAATATTTTTACAATGTAATTTAAAATTTATACTTCAATCGAGATATTATTGTTATTGATATTTTATTATATTTTATTTCAGTTTTAAATTCATAGACTTCGATTTGTCAGACGACGATACATGTAAAGCGACCATACGTATGTTCCTGCAGTGCAATCTAGTGCAAAAATTCCAAATTCCATATCACGTAAGTATAGCAAATTATAGTATAATATTAATCCGCCAGTCAGAAGTTCTAACTCAAAACACATGCATCATTACGCTAATTATACAATATAATATCATTAGTATTATACTTATAATATAATTACCAAATATTATTACAGAATATTACACTAATAGTTTAATTAACATAATATTATTTAGTAATAATAATATTCTGTCCGGTGAAACGATGATGAATCGAAAAATATCGTGTTTCAAAACCCTATATTTGACTTACAATACCTAATTCATATCGACCATGCGTACTATCCAATATTTTATAATTATTGTTTTGTATTTCTTGTATTATCTTTCCAGGTCCTTTGTAAATGGGTTTTGAGTGTGAGAAAAAACTATCGACCAGTAAAATATCATAACTGGAGACACGCGCTAAACGTGGCACAGACTATGTTTGCCATGCTGAAAACCGGAAAGATGGAAAGGTTCATGAGTGACTTGGAAGTAAGCGTTTACCGATATAACGGTAAAATTGTGTAATATAACTTATTTTATCATCCCTGGAAACCGATACTGTAACGGAACAATTAAATATCTCATCGTTAATATTAATAATACGGTTATTGGACCGATACGACTTGCCAAGTTATCCTCTGTACTATTGTTATGTACTTATGTGTATCATTAATAGATAAGTAAATAAAAAATATAGTGCTAGCAAAGAGTGCCTGTTTTTCGTTACTATCAGGATTCGTCTGTATGCTTACAAACATTTATATATTTTAAGTTCTTAGTTGTACACTTTTAGAGTGATTATTGATAGGTAGGTAGATTAAATTAAATACATTTTCAAATCTAATATTTATTTTCTGTCTTTGGTACTTACAAGACGCGTGTTCGATGCGCGCATGTGGCATCTCTTAGTCACGCGAATGATATCCCAAATGAATCGATAATCTAAATCATCTCATGTCTCCTATAATGTTATATTTGTTGTAATTGACTCAACTGGCTGTTTAGTTCCTCTTTCTGCCTGATTCGTGGTAATTGGTTGTGGTGCAGCAGGTTTGTGTACATTGTAAGTACACAGTAATCTTAACCTAGCTCCAAAATAAGTATTCACTTGACGACAAACTCAGTGACCAATGGAAGAACCCCGGTGAAAAGCATCGAACGAGTCAGTTGTGATGACTGTGTTTTGTACGCAAGCAAAAAAAAAAAAAAGATAAAAAATTAAAAAAGATGCATTTATTTTTCTTAGACAAATCATATCATATTATAATATCTTATATTATCTTCTATAGAAAGATATTATTTCATCATAAATCTAGTCGATCTAGATATTTGCTTTGAATCTGATTTGTCCTACAGAATAATTTGTAAAATAATTATAAATAAAGCATATAAGATATATTGGGTTTTAACAGCAAAAATACTAAGAACCTTAAAAATGCTTTGTGTATAAAAAAAATTATATACTGCTTCCGTTAATATATATAATTTAGAATTAGACTCATTAACTTGATTTGGTAATCATTCAACTTATTTAAATGATTTTGACAATAACCAACATAAATTTCTAAAAAAATTTCTTATGTCATCGACTGAAYTAAATCTTTAGAGATTCTTTTCTTTTGATTCAGGGATTTATAAGGTTAGATTTTCATTCGATCAAACATGATCTGATGAATATTTGTTTGTCAATGATATTTTAAACAGCTATATCAGATGTCCAAAAATTTTAATTTTAATTGGATTTAGAATCTCTATTAGAATTACTTGTAATTTAATTTTTTTTCTTTATACCAAAATTTATTACGAACTGTGGAATTAATTTATTATTTTTAAGAGTTTTTTCAAATGACAAAATAATCTCCACTATCCTTAACACTATTTTTTTATATTTAAAGCATAATGCTTAAATATAATTTTCTAAAACTATCACGATCGTGTTATTATTTTTATTTATAGTTTTAGTTTCTAAGTAAGGGTTTACGCCTGATGATTATTATAAATTAATAATTAATATCATGGTAGTTATGCCTCTGGTTGAATTAAATTGTTAGATTTTGGGATTGCTGGTGGCATGTTTGTGTCACGATCTCGACCACCGGGGCACGAACAATGCTTTCCAGACGAAGACCGAATCACCTTTAGCAATTCTTTATACAACCAGTACAATGGAACACCATCACTTCGATCAATGCGTAATGATTCTAAACAGCGACGGCAATAACATATTCCAAGCGCTGTCACCGGAAGATTATCGATGTGTTATGAAATTGGTGGAGAACTCGATTCTGTCTACAGACCTTGCCATGTATTTCAAAAAGAAAAACAGATTTATGGAGGTCGTTGAAAACGGTGAATTTGATTGGCAAAGTGAAGAAAAAAAAGCTCGTGAGTGGATTTCTTAAGAACTTTATTTTTATACTAAAATACAAATTTCTTATTTGACAATTGAGTCAACATTGGAATTTATCATGCATAGGTTTTAAAATTGTGTTGTTGTTATTTACTCGATTTGTAGCTCATACCTACGCAACTTATGATGGCAAATTTAAATGCCTGTAATATTTGTATTGTTTTTTTAGTATTGTGTGGTATTTTGATGACTGCTTGCGACGTGAGCGCTATAGCAAAGCCTTGGGAAGTTCAACATAAAATGGCTAAGCTCGTGGCCGACGAATTTTTTGACCAAGGCGATTTGGAAAAGTTACAACTTAACCAACAACCGATGGTAAACGTAACAATTATGTAGGATAAAATATAAGATATACATTTTAACGTCAACAATCTTTGATAGGCTATGATGGATAGAGAAAAAAAAGACGAACTCCCGCAGATGCAAGTTGAATTCATTGATGTAATTTGTTTGCCGCTGTACAAAGTAATGATATTGAATTCAACAAGTTTGATATTATTTAATATGCTAAATTTTCAAATTTATTTGTAGGTATTATGTGACACTTTCCCGTGGATCACGCCATTGTACGAAGGTACACTAGAAAATCGAAAGCACTGGAAAGATTTAGCAGAAAAAGTTGAAATGGGCTTGACGTGGATTGACCACGACAAAATTGAAATTCCTGTCGAAGAATTTTTTAGTGAGTTATACAATTTTTTTTTAAACGCAGTGTTTAATTTATTTGTATATTTGTAGCTCACAAAAGCACGAAAGACATAGAGTTTACAGTAACCACACTGAATACTACCCAAAATTCAACGAAGAAAAGCAATACAAAAGTTAGTAAGAAACACGGTAAACATACCTAATTAAGGTACCTATATTTTTTCCTTGAATTTCTGTTCATAATAATAATAAGGGAAGTTTCGATACTCTATCAGAAGTATTGGATATTTGGTATTAACCAAATACATATTTTATAATGTACCTAAAACGTCAAACAAATATTGAATAATTGTTATCATAATAAATAATTAATCATAAATAGTTTATATTTACATATAAAAAATATCATATAAAATTTTTATTACAGTTTCTATTGTATTCGTTTCATTTAAATATAAAAATGATATCACATTTAAGAAAATATAATAAAATTATAGATTACTTATTGTTATGGATATTTAAGTTTAATTTTTGAATTTATTTGAATGTATAAAATACTATATACAAATTATTGTAATTGTTTATTCTGAAATTAGAAAATAAGATTTAAAAGTAATGTTACATAATATTTTTTAATGTCATAATTATTCAATAATTAATAACAAATTTAATGAAATTAATGAAATTAATCTCATTTATTTATTTGTTTGTTAAAAATTTAAATTCTATTGTTGTTTAARTAGCAGGTTTGAATAGATTAATATTTATTTAATAATTTACGTCATATACCACGGAAGAATTTTATTTTGAGAATTGAAGAATTTTTGAAATCTGAAATAAATAAAAATCGGAACTATGACTATTCCAATGGCAATATTATGAAACCTACTGTGATGATCATCATTGGTTTGTCTGAATATTTAATTTTAACTATGGTTAAGCATCAAAATAAGCACTATTATTTTATTAGTTTTAGCACCGTTTGGTAAAGATCTGTTCCAAATTTCTTGTATGTAGCGATGTATTTTAAAAGTTATTTTTGTATCATACAGCAATGAAATATGTTTTCATTAGAAATTTGAAAAAGTCATAACACTTAAAATTTGTTTATTTTTTTTTATTTTTATTAATTTTCTTGTAAACATTACTCATATGATCTTAAAAAATATTAATATATATTCCAACAGTCCAAAATAGGACCGTAACAAAAATTATTTGAACACTTTTCATATTTTTAATTATTAATTTATTTTATAAGCCTTGAATGCTATGTCATAGGCAACATGTTATACACCTTGATATATTTACACACACATATTTTCATTTCCGTGGACGTTGAAGTTTTTTATTAATTTTTTATTTCATTGGAGAATGAATTTATATGGCTTATACCTACAGCAAAAAAAAGACACTAAATGATAATATTATATTGATTACTTACTTCATTATTATAATTTGTTTTGTGTGTTGTTTTATAAACAAGTTTCTATAAAGTACGATTGTTATAATATTTTATTACCTATATTATATTCTAGGCTCACATTGTATTATCTATGCATAACTTATATAGTTTTATATTCACATAAGTAAATAGAATATAATTCCCAATACATTCATTTAGAATCGAAACTTTCCTTTAGCACTACTCACTGTACTTCTTTAGTATATAATATTATTATTGTCACACGATAACAATATTATACACTCTTGTTTCTAAATTTCACAAAATTTTATCACATTTTTTGGGCCACTCATTATTTTTAAAATTCAAAAAAATATATCCCTATATATTATTTTAAGGTTGAATAAGACTGGCCACCTCACGCAACACATTTTTTACCTATCCTCAATAATAAATTGTGTAATAATTAGTAACAAATTATATCTAATATGATTTTTTTTTAAATAAATAAATTTCGATGAAATTACTTATATTGAACCGTTTGAATTGTACGCGAGATCGTTGATAGAACTACAATACCGGTAGATTTAATATAGAAGATATCAAAACATCTCTTTAATGTTCTAAATGCGCTTCAAATCGTGTTCAATGTTGTTCCGTTTTAAGATATTTGAAATAGGTACCATCTTTGTATTATACCTAAATACCTTTTTTATCACTCATACCAGTATACCAATATTCAGTTACCTATTTACCACACCACCACTAATACCACCAAAACCACATACTAAGCATGTTCACCCATTTTTTCTTAAATATACAGTTATTTGAAATCTGTTTTTTTAATTTTTGAAATAAACTAGAAGACTTTATTATAAAACATCTGAGATTTTTTCGTATTACCTATTTAAGGAATAACCTAAGTAGATAAAGAATTCTGTTCGAGTATACTTTCTCATTTTTATTCTATACATTATTTAAGTGTACTATTATTTTTTTGTATAATTATATGTTTGGGATTTATGGGGTCGATGGTATTTTAAAAATGTTAGTTTTTAATTATCAATATTAATCTACCAGCATTAATATATATATATTTTTTTTTAGATTGTTTAAAAACAACATTTATAGATTTAATGTCTTTTTCTTATATTTTTTTTTAGATTGTCCGAACATAATAAATACTTAATTCAATTGTAAATCTATTTCCAAGGACTCGTATTCCTATATTTGTATAAACATTTGAATAACTACTCGTCCAAATTGTGAATTGCGTACATAAAAATGTCCAAAAAAAAATTATCCACTGAATAATTTACTTAAAGGGGGTAGAGATGTGGTTCTAATTAAGAAAACACAACAAACTTCTTAAGTGTACTACAATTAATCTTAAGACACCAAAAATACAGTCTTCATGAACCTATTTTACGTAAGAATTTTCAAAAAGAAGAATTTAAATAAATTCGTCGTCAAATGAAATAAAAAACACTGGTGAGCACGCTTGGGGGTAAATCCATCCCATACGTGTATTATGCCTCATATGATAATATTATTATAATACGATATTATCAATGTGGCACCTCGCTTCGCTGTCACTGCTGAACTCATTGAAACTGTTTTTTTTTTTTTTTTTTGATCCAGCAGAACCTCGACCTGAATCTGGATACTTCTTCGGCGCTCCACCGGAACGGCGCCAAGTTTTCCAGTTTCCGGAAAAAACCCACGTCCAGTCGGTCGTTCCGGAACCGAGTCAGCCGGTCGCTGTACAACAGCACCGCTAGCAGCGGCGGATCCGCCTCCATGACTTCCGTCACCGCGAAACCGTCCGACGCCGCGACCACCGCCGACCAGCACAACATGATAAGTTCTGCGTCTTTGCCGGTATTCACGTCGCCGGCGTCCACGCCGGGCTACAGCAGCGGTGGTGGCAAGCAGCCCACCCACACGCCGTCAATGTCGGCCACGCCAGTGAAAAATAAGAGCAAATATTGCCGAATTCTGTGATAAACGTTCCGTTTTTTTTTCACGCTGTGGTTTTTATTTTATTTTACCGTCTCCCGCCCTAATATAATATAGTTTATATTAATATTCTTGGCTCGTATTGCGTACGGATCGTCCGTCGAACCAATTTCCGATTGACCTAACCTAGGTAGTGATATCCGAACTAGCAGTGAGTGGTGGAGGTGGGGACTGAAACAAGGAATTTTCGAAAAGAAAACCTTCCAAAACGTTTTATATACCTACGTGAAACTTTCGAAAAACTTTAAATCTTTGTATTTAGTACCTATCGATACCGATTTCATGTTTGGAATTACAATTTTCTTTTACATTTCTTTTTTGAAAACGAGTCGATTATAAATACGAAAGTTTTATTATAATGATATTGACGATATTATGTCCAGCCTACGACTGATAATATTAATGATGACCGATTCAACTTAGATTGTCTTAAAAACTTTCAGATTTGATGGTACGGACAGTACAATTCGGTTGAGTTTAATTGTTTACATTGAATTGGGGAGTTCATTGTGAAGGGTGTTTGGGTGGTATGTAGAATATAATATAGGTGATGCTATTAAATCTCCTCAGACTTAAATCTATAGAAGCATGTTAGAAGAATTATTATATTGTGTAGTTATATCTATAATTGTATTATGGGTACTTAAATATTATAATAACATGTGATCGACTCGTATACGCATATTTTTTTATTATTATATTATTATTATTTTTTTTTTTTTATAAACCGATATCTTGTCAAATGACACAAAATTACAGTATGATTTTGTACAGAGTTTTAAAATCAAAATATTATCTTACTTTTGCAAGCCCTCGTATCCATCCCCATTCCTCACACCACTCGCAATGCCATCCACGCCAAAATTTACGTACTTCCCTCCTAAAATATTTTATTATTATTATTATAATTATTGTTACATAGACCTTCGTTTTCGTTGTTGTCTACAAAATATGGACTGTTTTATATAAGAGTATATAGTAATATAGTTTAAAAGTATTCTAAATTATTATTAAAAATATGTCGGAAATGTTTAGGTAAAAATATTATAAATGATAATTTGTTTAAAGAAATTGTGTTTTTATCCGGTCAATCATCGACAATATAATATTTTATTGTTRTAAATTCCAATCGATTTTTGTTATTCCGACTGAAAAGAATGAAATTAATTGCTCGAACGAAACAATATTGCATTTAGAAGGATAATTAGTTTGAATGGGCTGCTGAATCAAAATAGTAACGATGTTAACATCACGTGATGTTTAGTAACTTTATCTGTTAAACCCTGTCACAATCTATAAATATATAGTAAAGCTTAGAACAGTGAAAAAATAATCACAATCATTACCTTTATTAAATTTGTATTTTTATCTTTTTATCATTTAAATTTTATTTAAAACAATATGAAATATAATACATTTGGTCACAGAATTTGAAAATAAATGTTTTAATAATAATTCGACCATGCAAATTAATCAACAATTTCCATGCAAACGTTTCCAAATTAATTAAAAAAAAAAAAAATAAATATAAAAATAATATAATATTCAGTTGTAGGTATAAAAAATGTTTACGAAAACAATACTTTAATTCTTGATTTTATTCTATTATAATATTATATTCATTAATAATAATCACCTCAATTATTATAATTTGTAAATAATTTTCTTTGGATTGTTTATTTATTTTTTTAATGTTTAATAAATAATAATATAATAAGAATACCTATAAATACATTATATAATATTTCCATTCAGAAAAAAAAACTGTTAAGAGCAAATCTTTGCAATGTCGTTCGTCGATTCGTAACCCACTTTTATGTATAATTGTTAGGATAAGTATTATATTGAAGAATCAAATGTTTTCCATCAAAATGGATATTTTTAGAATATAATATATAAAAAAAAATAGATATGTAAACAAATTATTTTACAAGATTTTGGCATTATTTATTTAATAATATATGTTATAACTTATAACAAATATTATTATTCATCACAATGGTAATATTTTGTCTTTTGAAAAATTTTCATTGTCAATCATTGTTGGCATCAACGATATTATTTTCATTAATTTCAATTCATAGCATCCCAAAATCATAATTATACTCAAAATATGTCTAAATTTTACTTAATAAACCGCAATAATTTAGTAATTTATTGTTATTAAGTTAAGCTCTAAATTAAGTATAATATAATATTTTAATAATTATAATACAAATAATAAGTTTACTAATGTGATATTAATTAGTTTCAAATATGTAGTCATAGAATTTTAATACTTCCTTGTTGTATTGTATATAATATATTATTTATTAATGTATTATTATTAAATACAATTGTTATTATTTATAACTACTTTGGAAAATTATATTCATCACATTAAAGATGTAGGTGGTATTTACTTAAATGTATATTTAGGTACGTACCACCAACGAATATGATATCTCTGTTATAATTTTTTTTATTAAAATATCATACATGAAAGTAATGATCGAAATTAAAAACAGTAGCTGCGTTCCGTATTATATTTGATCAATACAACGACGTTTATCAATTACTTTAGATATATTATTTCAATTTGCATAGTTTAACTTTAATGTTATAATTTATCATTCAGACGAGAAAGTCAAGAAAGGCTAAACATGTGATTGTGTATTAMACAAAATGATTATTTTGGCATAACTGAATCTATATTTATTTTTTTTTTTTTTTGTTTACCTATAATAATTTTCCACGGAAATCTCTATGATTGCAACGAAAAACATAAACTTAACCGAAACGATTTAAAATTACCAGCAGCAGGGCAAATATTTATCATAGAGGTTAAATACTAGAAAAATATGAACATTTCAATTCACTTATGAACGAGGTAAACAAAAAATTAACAGTGTTTCGGGTTATTTCTGTACAACCTACGTGAATAACATCATGTCACTGATGAAGTCAAAAACCAATTTTGTTTTGCGGCCGAATATATGTAATCGAAATAAAAGCTCTCGAATATTTACAGAAATATACTAATCTAATATTTATTACGGTTGGAAAGCAAATAGTAAAAATATACCAAGTTATGGGCTGTCATATATTTTGACTGCCTACCTAAGTGTGGAAAAATTGTCCAAGTGTATTTTATCAATTTTTACAAAACATTAATTTATGATCAAGTGATAGTTTTCATTACAAAACGATATAGACGAAAAATGTGATCAAATAGACACACTGTTTTCCCTTTTATTAATAAAATAATTATTATATTAAAAAATACAATAAAATGCAGCTCAGTGATAAAAGTAATTTTCTTCTATTTCTTACACTTGTTGACCAGGTGATATGAGTTAGTCATTTTCTTATCTATCCTCTTTTAAGTTTTAAACTATTTTGCTAGTTATTATCAAGTTATTATAACTCAAGGTTAAGTTCGTTTTAATGGGGTTTTTTTAAAGTTAAAAATGATTAAATTAACAACAATGTTTAGGTACATTTCGCTTAGAAATTTTTTGCATGACGGCAACTAAATTATGCACGATTGAAATTATTGCAGGAGAAGTTTTTATRAATTATCGAATGAAATGAAAAAAGATTACAATAAAAATATAGAATTGGTATAATTTAAATAACTTTTTAGATTCTGAACGAAGTGATGAATGTATTAATTTTACAATGATGTGTGTGTTTTTTTTCTTGTTGTTGTGTCTGTGTACAGCATATAACTAGTCGAAATAATGCTTCAATTTCAAACTTTGGGAGTGGTTTTCTATGGGAAATTGAATATCCTTGGTGCATTATAGAGGTCAAAAGTAAACATTTTCCAACAGTTTTCAAAAAAATCGATTTTTTTATATGGTTGTAATTTATTCAAAAACTAATCACTGTAAATACTTGAAATTTTTACCAAATATTTATGTAAGTGTTATCTATATACAGTTTAATTTTCAAAATTTTTTGACTTTTTTGAGTTATTTATAGACCACTGAAGTTTTTGATTTTTATGAGAATTTTTTTTTTGAAGCGTCGCTAAAAAAATGTTGGAGAGCCAAAAAAACTTGAAAATTTAATACAAAGTTTCTCATAAGTTATCCTTATAGTGATTAAAAAATTATAAGAATACATAGGCACAATTTTTTTTGATAAGCGTTTATAATTCAAATTTTTACGAAATCTGTCGAAAACGCGAAAATTCGCAAGTAATTTTGAAGTTGAAAAATTATAAAATTTTTGTGTTTATAACTAAKKATTAAAAATACAACACTAAGTTTTCCATAAGTTTTCCTTCAAGTAGCTATAGAGAAAACTCGAAGAATCATTATAGGAAAAATGTTTTGAGCATTTGAGTTTTAAATTTTTATGAAATCACGTATAATGATAACGATTTATCCTCAAACCAGGTATATGTATATTGTATATCTATGATAATATAAAGTATTATGAATTATGATAACTACATGCAATGTTTTTGGAAAAATTGATTAAACATTTCTTATGCAAAATACGTCCTAATTGAAAAATAAATATTTGTTTCAAAATAGCAAGGCTGGGCAAGTTAA